CCCCCAGGAATCTTCTTCTCAATGGAGTGTCTATTCCTGTCAACCAATCCCAGGTCATTTCCTGTGTAGTATAATTTCATTTCATCCAATGGCTCAAAGTACTTCACTCCTTCCAAACTGATTAAAGATTTTTTAAAATCACCTTGTTTACGCCTTTGATTTATTGACAATTTTGAGGTTTTCAAAAGGCAGTTAATATGTTGGCTAGTTTTTCTGAAGCAGGCTTAGAGCTTGTTAGACATGGAAGATGCCAAGGTGCATCCCAAGCCACCACCAGTCATCTTGAGTTTTGTCCTGCCACTGGAGGACAGAGTAAGGCTGATAACTTCGTGCAGCTCTGCCTCACTTAAATCCAATTCATGCACAAGTCGAGAGACATCACCTTGTGATGTCCTTGGTCCTCTTTGAAAATGAAAGACAAAAAACATAAGCAACAGTAGTTTTTCTGAACTGCAAAATTTGCTGGTTCACTCACTACCTTTGTACTCCCCAAGAGCAACTATGAAGAGGGATCAGAAAAGAAGGTGATCTTTATGGTAAAAAATAAATGGTGGGCCCTCAAACCTCTCACCTGGCAACTGTTAAAAGAACCAAAATTCATTAACAGGCAAGCACACTCATTCATTGCTGGTAGAATTGTAAACTTGTAGAGTCTCTTGGGCAAAAATAATTAAAAGTAACAAACTTTGATCTTGATGGAGTTATAGAGGAATTGACACTCTCATTTATCGTTGGTGGAAATGGAGACTTGTAAAATCTTTTTGGCAAGCAATCTGACAAATACAGAGGAAAAATTACAGAAATAACCATACTCTCAGATCTGAAATTCTGCTGCTTGGAATGTACCCTGAAGATCTTTATGAAAAGCAAGAAAAAATGAGATGTTTGTTCCAAGATTTTTCATAGCCATATTATGTGTAAGTACTAAAAAAAAAGTGTGTGTGCAGGGATGGAGGAATGAGGGGAGTGGGGGAGTGGGGGAAGGTGGAAGGGGAGCAAATATCCAAAAATGAAGAGGAAAAGGTTTAATAAACTGGGGAATGCAATGGAATATTATTACATAATTAGGACAGACAAATATGAGGAATAAAAAGAAATCCAGAAGGACCCAAACAAAATAATGCAAAATAAAAGCAGGACCAGCAAAATTCGATATTCATTAACTGCAGTCATATAAAGGGGAAAGCTAATGAGAATGAGTGGATAAACCACGAATTCTAATGAGGACACAGAACAAATGAAGAATTGTTCTGACATTTTATGTATTGAAATTACTTTAAATGTAAATAGTTTCTAAGCAAGTTGAGATGGCTGTACTGATGGTCAATATTAAAATTTGTTTTTTAAAAATAAAACCTTAAGAAAAAGATAAAGGGGGTTCCTTTAAAAGGATCATAGGATGATGAATTAAGATCATAGTTTTGGAGCTGGAAGGGACCTTTGGGGTCATCTTGTCTGACCCCTTTATTTTACCGATGAGGGACTAAAGGTGCAGATCAGGGTGCTGTTACCTGCTTGTGATCAGTTAGGAAGTGGGAGAGGCAGGATTTGAACCCAGGTCCTCTGACTCAAGAGATAATGCTCTTTTATGGTAGCACATCGCCTCATCCCAACTGCAGAGAAGGGACCAGACACAGGGAGCAGCTTAGTTCGTGAGGCAGACGAGCACTAAGTTTGGACTCACTGGTTCTGAGTACTGGCTTTGCAACAGACTCCCTGTTTGACCTTGGGTGAATCACTCAACTGGGGCAGCCAGGTGGCACAGTGGATAGAGCACCATGCTTGGAGTCAGGAAAGACCTGAGTTCAAATCCATCTTCAGATATTTATTGCTTTGTGGCCCTGGGCAAGTCACTGTACCCTGTTTGCCTCAGTTTCCTCCTCTGTAAAATGAGCTGGCGAAGGAAATGGCAAACCACTCCAGTATCCTTGCCAAGAAAAACCGTCACCAAGAGTTGGAAATGACTGGACAACAGCAACAATGCCACTCAGTGTCCCCGGGCATCGTTTCTTCCTATGTCAAACTAGAGCACCGTGCTAGTGGTTCTCTGAGATCCCTTCCAACTCGATGGAATTTGTTGGGCTCTGTAAATTTTTTCTCTTATTTCCCGCTACTTCATAGGGTTTTGTTTTTTCCAATTCCATGTAAAGATAGTTTTCAACATTCACTTTTATAAAATTTTGAGTTCCAAATTTTTTTCTCCCTCCCTCCCCTCCCCACTCCCCAAGATGGCAAGCAATCTCATACAGGCTATACATGTGGTTTATAAATTTTTTTTAAAAATATTTTGATAAAGTGATTTCAATAACATTGGTTTCCTTTGTAATCCCACATATTTTCTTTTGTGCGTTTGAAAATATGATTCTGAGAAGGTTCCACGGGCTTCACCCTACTGCCAAAGGGGTTCATATCACAGAAAAAGGGGTAAGAATCTCTAATCCTGATCTATGAGCGTATGAAAGAACTGAACTTGGAGATAGGCTGTCCAGGGTTCAAATTCAGCCTCTGGCACTTACACAGGCCGCAGACAAGTCCCTTCCCTCTCCCAGCCTCAGTCTTATCTGCAAAGTGGAGATGACAATTCTCATACTGTTTACTACATCCAGAGGAGCACAGGGTCATTGGTTTAGAGTGGGAAGAGACCTTCCAGGTAATGGACTCCAACCCTAGTCAAATAAGGAAATGCATCTATTTTGCAAACTTTCATTGGCTATATAAAGGTGAGTTATCCCAGAATGTAAAGTTTGGAAGGGACCTCAGAGACCATTTAGTCCAACACTTCCCTGAATGAGCTTCCTCTCCAAAACCCCCCCCGGAAGAGTGAGCGGTCATCTAGCTTTTGCCTGAAGACTTCCAACGATGGAAGTTACCACTCTGTGCAGCTCATCCTACTGTTGGACAGCTCCGTCATCATTGCGAAGTTCTTCCTGACCCCAAGCTGAAATTGACCTTTTTTTAACTTCCACCCAGGCTCGGAGCTGTGCCTCTCCTCTGGGGTCCAGCAGAAAAGCCTAATCCTTCTCCTTCAAATACTTGAATTCAGTCGCCACTTCTTTCCTGAGTCTTCTTTTTGGCTAAACACGGCCAAGTTGAGCCTTTCCCCTTCCTGACTGGCCTCCTCTGAACATTCTATCATTATTATGTTATTAAATCTGAATTATTTACATTTAGATTTGGAAAAAGGTCTGGGAGGCACAGGACTTCAGGTTTGAAGTTAGGGGACCTGGTGTTGAATCTCAACACTACCACTGTTACCCAAGTGGTCTTAGGCAAATTTCTTCACTTCTCCCTTCCTCAGTTTCCTCATCTGTATAATGAGGGTGTTAGAGTTGATGACTTCAGCCTTAAAATCTACAATTATTATAAACTAAATAATAATGGTATTAACTTTTCAGTTCTGTGTCCCTTTATGCATCTGTCCAGGGACTTACAGAATGTTGTTGCCTTGTTAAAAATTGTTTTTAGATGTAATTGGAAAAATATATATTTTTTTAAAAGAAAGGTAGAATTGAGTCAGTTAAACATTTTGTATTTTCCTTGGGATCATAACTGTGAGGACATGAATGAGTCTAAAAAACCATGCATGGCCCAACCATCTAATTCTAGACACTATTCATTAAAGTAATTCTAAAACATTGTTGTTTTTACTTCATTTTTCAAACTAGCCTAGGGAAGGTAGCTAGGTGGTGCAGTAGATAGAGCACTAGCCCTGGAGTCAGGAAGACCTGAGTTCAAAATCAGCCTCAGGCACTTACTAGCTGTGTGACCCTGGGCAAGTCACTTAATCCTGCTTGTCTCACTTTTCTCATCTGTAAAATGAGCTGCAGAAGGAAATGGCAAACCACTCCACTACCTTTGCCAAGAAAACTCCAAATGGTGTCACAAAGAGTTATACTTGACTGAAACAACTGAAAAACAATTCTAGGAAAATGATTCCATATTGGCCCTTGGGAAACCATTTACCTAAAATCAGATTCTTAAAGTCATTTAAAGCCTGTGCATTGTTCATGTTACTTTTTTTAAGTGCTAAAATGCTTAAAATAATAATAATAAAAAGAATGTTATTGCCCTCTTGATTTGGGGGAGACGGTAAGAACTGGTTTGGCCAGGAGTGATGCAGGCTAAGGTTTAATTGTCCCAGAGACCAGGCATTGGCCGCCTCCCCAATCACTTGCTTGTTGTAACACAATTAGAACGAAATTTCCTAGCTCCTTGCCCCTTTATTTCTCATTCCTTATTAGTAAATTCAGAGAATACCCTCATTTCAGGGGTCTGGATTATGCCACTGCCTTGATCATGGCAGTCTCCTAATAGTGCCAAATCAGCTGTTTGTCTAAAATCCTGTATAAGTTCCAACCCTGAGTGGCATGGGGGCTTTAGACTGGACGGCACATCTTGGCCACAGGTCAAGCCTGCCCATGTAGCTGGTGACAGGGGAGGGGGAGACCCCACCTAGTTGTGCCCCATTGGCATCCTGCCCTCCCAGTGTGGCAGTGTGGTTCACGCTGCCACTTCTGGGAGGCTACGTCTTGCAGCTCCCTCCCTCCCCCTGGGCTTGAAATTTTTTCATAGCATCGTGGTCTGTGTTTATCTGGTACATATCTGATACTTTTCATAATTTTGTCTGTCCATATTTCTTGTGATCTTCATATGCATCCCTTTCTGGGATACCTTAGCACTCCTGGCTTGAGAGACAGAAAGGATACTAGAGGCTATCCTGGCCAGGGGCTTTTATCCTCATTTGAATCTTGGATGCCTTGGGTGGTCTGGGGAAGCCTATGGCCTTCTTAGGAGAATTATTTTTTCAAATGAAGGAAATGAAATATGTTGAATATGATTGTACATGTATAGCCTATATCAGATTGCTCACCATATTGGGAAGTGGGGAAGGAAGAGAGAAAAAATTTTGGAAACCAAAAATCTTAGAGAAGTGAATCTTAAAAACTATCTTTACATGTAATTGGACAGAATAAAATACTATTAAGTGAGGCAAATGAAGGAAATGGCAAATTTGAATTCGAAGTTAATGAAAAAAACAACAGAATTTTTCCCATCCAAGGTTACAGACCCCCTAAATTCTATCTGAGGACTCTTTTGTGGTCCATGGACCTCAAGTTGGGAGCCTCAGACTTGTCCACGCCTATTGTTTGGCTCAGAGGGCAGGTGACTAGCCCAAGATCACACAGTGAACTAGGGACAAGTCCGCTGCCTCTTAAACTCTATTCATCCCTACCCTCATCCCTGGGTAGAGGTCTCTTCTAGCCGGGAGCATCTTGCAGGAAGGCATCACAGCCACTAGGTGGCAGCAGGAAGCAGTAATTTGCGGAGAAGCTGGACATTATCTATTTGAAACGCAGGCAATTCTTTCAGTGATGCTAGAGTAAAGAATCTTCTTCTTCCGGGTCTTGTCTCCTTGGAATCTCCAGATGATGGGCAAGAAGCTGGTGAAGAGCAGAGCCAAGATGGCGGTGATGTAGCCCCAGCCCAGGTGGCATCGACCACTGCTGTACACGGCCGAAGGGCCACAGGCGTTCTGAGCCACGTGGGAGGCCAGGCTGCATGGAAAAAGCAACAGGCCCAGGAAAGTGGTGATGACTGGAGGGAGACAAGAGGAGAGGAGAAAGTCATCTTTACTGGCTTGTCAAGCATTGTGCTAGGCACCATTAGATTGCAAGCTCCTGGAGGGCAGGGACTGTCTTTTGCCTCTTCTTGTATGCCCCACAATTGTGCTTCATAAATATTGATTGATACAAATACAAAAATAAGGTGAGATCTTTCATTCAGGGGACTTAGATACTAACAGGCCGGCTCCATGATTCTGCTAGTCTCTGATGAGCCCATGGAAGGTAGATTTGAGAAATCATCTGGTCTAGTATTATCATTGTATTGATGGGGAAACTGAGGCTTGGAGAGAAGTGACTCCTCCAAGTAAAAATAGGAGCATGCAGTCATAGATCTGAGACTGGAAAGGACTCTAGAAGCCACTAAGTCCAACGTTTTCATTTGAAAGATGAAGAAACTGAGGCAGTGGGGGTTGGTATGTGAAGTGACTCTCCCAAAGTCATGGGAAAGCTGGGATTTGAACCCGGGTCATCTGACTTCCAAATCCAGAGTTCTTTCTGCTGGACTTGGAAGGTCAGTTTAATTCATCTGACTTCTGTCAGCCTAGAGTCAGGAGTTTGCTCAGCCAGAAACAGAGTTGCGAATAGTCAAGGGACTCACCAGATGCTACTTGTAAGTACTGGGTTGGGATGCGCCCTTTCACGGGGCAGAAGTCCTCAGGGAAGATGGTCCAGGAGAGGAGGAGCAGGGCCTGCAAGGCCAGCAGGAGCCAGCCTCCCAGAAGCAGCGCAGCTGAGGCCTGGAGAGAGAGAAAGGAGGGTGGAGACCCCAGAAGCCATGAAAACCTCCATTTCAGTTCAGCCACTAATAAGGTTAGCTTACTGGTATTCGATGACCTGGAAAAAGTGACCCAGGTCATCTCCTATCTGGTCAAGTCATCACCTGTCTGGGACCCATTTGCTTTTGGTGTAAAACGAAGGTCTTTTCAAACTGCAGCATTCTATGGGGGAGGAAAAGAACCCCACTGCTCAGTTCCCCTTCCTCATGAGCTAGTTGTGATATGACTAGGCAGACCGTATTGGTATTGTTTCTGTAAAGATCACTGCAATGGGGGTCAGGAGACCTGGGTTCATCTCTCAGCTCAGTCTCTTACTTGCTGTGTGACCGCGGGCTAATCACCTCCCGGCTCTGAGCCTCAGTTTACACATCAGTAAAATGAAGGATGTGGAATCCCTGTGTGATCTTTGGCAAATCACACGCTCTCAGTTTCAGCTTCCTTGTCTGTAAAATTAGCAGTGGGACTAGATCTCTTCCAAGTCCAAATCCTAGGACCCCAATGATCTCAGAGCTCCTTTGGCTTCCTAAATCACCTCCCTCATTCCGTATCTGCAAAATGGGGTCAATCAATCTATCGACAGGCATTTATTAAGAACCTGTTATGTCCAGGTGATGAGGATACAACGCCTGCTCTCAAGGACAATGCTCTCCTGGGGAGATGCTTTTCAAGACCTACCTCTCAGGGTGGCTGGAAGCCAAACACTCTGGGAACGGGTATGGAAACGTGGATTATCTTTGGGCTGTAACATCGTGCCTCTAGAAGGCCCACTCTTAAACTGCCCACGTGTTACTAAGGACTGATCCTGGCTGAAAGGTCAGATCCTGACGGTGGGTCCTTGGGAAAAGGCCTTTGTACCGCTATTGCTTAGCAGCCTGGGAGCACATAATCGGTACTTAATAAATATTTGTCGATTGCCTGAGGGATGGTCTCTTAAGCCTCTAGAGGCAGCTGAGTAGCAATGAGTGCTGTGGAGTGCTAGGCCTGGAGGCAGGAAGTCCTGAGTTCAGATGTGACTCCAGGGACTTACTAGTCTGGGCTAGAAGGTGACCCTGGGCAAGCCACTTAACTGCCCTCTGCTGCAAGACACCTGCTTCCCAGGGATATGGGAAGGTCAATGGTGGATTTGTAAAGTGCCCAGCACGGTGCTCCGCATGCAGTAGACAGACGATTGTTTAATGCTTGTTTCTTCCTTCCTTCTTCCTTCCCTCCCCCCCTCCCCTCTCTTCCCTTCCTTCCTTCCTTTTTTTCCTCTCTCCCTCTCCTTCCTTCCTTCCCTCCCTCCCTTCCTCCGTCCTTGCATCTCTCCCTCTTTCTTTTCTTCTTTTCTCTCTTCCTTCTTTCCTTCCTTCCTTCCTTCCTTCCTTCCTTCCTTCCTTCCTTCCTTCCCTCCCTCCCCTCTCTTCCCCTCCTTCCTTCCTTCTTTTCCTTCCTCCCTTCCTCCCTCCTTCCATCTCTCCCTCTTTCTTTTCTTCTTTTCTTTCTTCCTCCCTCCTTCCATCTCTCCCTCTTTCTTTTCTTCTTTTCTTTCTTTCTTCCTTTCTTCCTTCCTTCCTTCCTTCCTTCCTTCCTTCCTTCCTTCCTTCCTTCCTTCCTTCCTTCCTTCCTTCCTTCTTCCTTCCTCCTTCCTTCCTTCCTTCCTTCCTCCCCTCCCTCCCTTCCTCCCTCCTTCCCTCTCTCCCTGCTGGAGGATAGCTACTGGGTTTTGCCCCAAATAATCAGTACCTTCCAGGCCAGGTCAGGCATATCCTCCAGTGTCCTGTAAGCCACACAGGTCTGGTTCCAGGCTTTACCCACAGGCCAGGAGCATGAGGCAAAGAGTCCAAAAGAAAAACGATCACTTTGGAACCAGGCAGGGGAGACTAGGCCACAGGCAGAGATGAAGACCAAGCAGAAAGCCAGGGCTGAGCCCATACTGCCCGTATAGTCCCTCATGGGGAGTTCCAGGCACTGGGGCCTCAATACCTGCTGTGCACACTGGACTTGCAGGGGCTTCTCCCCGATGAATTAGGCCTTTTATTTGGAGACTGTCATGGCTCATCTTTGGACCACAAGGTCACCTGTAAAAAGACCTTAGTCACTTTTAGCACTATCTTCCAAGATGCCACCAGCCCTGACATTCCCTGTTCCAAGGTCCCTCCCAGCCCTGACATTCCCTGTGCCACGGTCCTGCTCTGTTCTGCCCTTCTCTGTTCCATGTTTCCTCCCCAGTGTTATCTGGTGATGAGCTGCTTCTGCACTTAGCTAGGCTGGTCCTCATTGGACAAACACACGATCCTCACCCAGCCCACTCTCTAAGTCTTTCCAGCTTGGAAGAACCTGCTAAATTTTTAGCTCTGCAGGTGCGGGCTTGGAGAACCCCGAGACAGAGCTATATGATGAGGTAAGCTGGAGGTAAGCTCCTACACCCACTTAATTGACTGATCAATCAACAAGCATTTATTAAGCACCTACTATATGCTAGGTACATTTCAGCATCCTTAAAATGAAACTAATCTGAGTTTCTGTAAGCCCATGTACACACAGGCCCATCTCCACATTACTTAAGAGTTTGTCTTCTTTCTGCCTTTGAAAAAAGTTGTACTTAAACTAGGTCATGGAGATTCATAGCTCTAAAATACCTCAGAAACCATCTAGTCAAAGGGTTCTTACCCTGGGGTCCGTGGACCATCAATGGGGGGGATCTTGGGGGATCTGTGCTAGGGGGCGCTACAGTGGATAGAGCGAGGGGCCTGGAGTCAGGAGGACCTGAGTTCAAATCCAACCTCAGACACTTATTAGCTGGGTCACCTTGGGCAAGTGACTTAACAGCTTTTGGCCTCAGTTTCCTCATCTGTAAAACCAGATTGATAATAGCACCTGTGTTGCTGGGCTATTGTGAAGATCCAAAGAAATAATGACAGATGCAAGGTGTAAAATGGTATATAATTGCTAGCTATTATTATTATTATTATTATTATTATTATTATTATTATTATTATTATTATTTCAGACCCATATAATTTCTCATTCTCCCCTTTGGTACAGACCCAAAGAAAAATAGCTAGCTATGGAAGGAGCAAAATACTATTTCTGCCATTTACTGGCTATTTGATCTTGGCTAATTCAATTCCCTTCTCTGAGACTCAGTTTCCCCATCTGTAAAATATGGGGGTCATACTAGATAATTCCTACAGGACCTTTCATATCTAAATCCCTTAATTTTGTGAGCTCCCCATGTATCAGCTCAAGAAAGTGTAGAGATGAATTGGGGTTACCTTAGAGGATTCCATGTTGGCATCGATTTCTCTGTTCAACTTCCAGGTAATATCCTCGGAGGACAAATCTGGCCACTCACGCTAGTCCCCGTGGATCTGTCTTCAGAAAGGCAGGTCTGGGGAAGACATGTTTGTCCTTCCTGTTCCAAAGAGCAGAATTTCTACACAATCAGAGGCACTCCTGATCTTATCATCCTCATGACATGAGGGTGGAGGCAGACCTGGTCACAGGTAACGTGATTCTTAAAGGGCCAACACATAAAAAGGTGTTTGACCAACCCAATAACCTCATATCTTTCATGGGGTCATAGATTCAGGGCTGAAAGGGACTTTAGAGGTCAGCTGGTGTGGAGGACTCAAGGACCCGGCCCATACAATCATTGAGTGTGGCCCAAATCTGCTCAGAGTTCCTTTTTTGTTTTAACATCTTGATGTAGTAATAAGACATTTATATTAAACGTTATGTAATAATATTATATAAAAATCATGTACATATACAAACACATATACATGTATCTACAATACAATATATGTATATATGTGTGTGTATGTATATGTGTATATATATATATATATACACAGTTACATGTGTATGTATATGTATATATGCATGCATATATGTATATCTAGGTGTATATGTATGTTTGTGATTTTATATGTATATATATGTGTGTGTGTGTGTGTGTATGTGTATGTGTATAAATAGAGAGGGAGTATGTGTGTGTGTCTGTATAGTTTTCCAAGTCAATATGTGACCTTGAAGGCAGCTAGGTGGCGCCATAGTGCACAGAGCACTGGCCCTGGAGTCAAGAACATCTGAGTTCAAATCCAGCCTCAGACACTTATTAGTTGTGTGCCCCTGGGCAAGTCGCTTCACCCTGTTTGCCTCAGTTTCCTCATCTGTAAAATGAGCTGAAGAAAGAAATGGCAAGCCACTCCAGTATCTTTGCCAAGGAAACCCCAAATGGGGTCATGAAGAGCTGGATGTGATTGAACAACAACAACATGGATCCTTAGGTACAGTTTACTGTCCCTCATGCTCAGTGAGTTTACCACCACTTATCTAGTCTAAGCCCTCTCCTGCTGCTGGAAGATAGAGGAGGTGGAGATCATGACCAAGTAACAAACAGAGCTGGAGGCGGTGGAGCCTGTAGTGATGCTGCAGAGCCCTGCACCCAACCTAGCCCAGAAAAGGACTGTCATTGGCAGGAGGGATTGGACTAGCTGTGGCTGGCCCCCCAGGCCGAATGGACGGCAGCTGCAAAGGAGGCGGATTTCAACTCAATGTAAAGAAGAGCCTGCTAATGATCCCAAAGTGAATGGCTGTTGGATCTCCTGCTCATCCGAGGCCTGGCCAGGTGACTGACTATTGGGATGTTCTACAGGGCATGGTCTTGTCTTATTCAGCCTCCGATGTCCCTTCCTGTCTCCTAGATTAAAGGTTCTCTGGATGCTCACAGCTACTTAAAGGATCTCAGAACCTCAGATCAGCAAAAATAACCCTTTCTGATAAAACCCTGTAGAATGAGGGAGGCAGTGTGGTATGTTGGAAAGAGTTCTATCTCTAGAGTTAGAAGATGTGGCTTCAAGTGTTGGCCAAGTCTCAGCCTTCTATTCCTTTAGGCCTGCCATCTGTAAAATGAGGGTGATGGTGATAATCCTTGTATTATCCGTCTCACAAGGTTATGAAGAAAGGTTTTGTGAAATCTTTGTGTGGCAGCTAGATGGTACAGTACATAGAAAGTTGGTCCTGGACTCAGGAAGACCCAAATTCAAGTCCTGACACAGACATTTAGTAGCTGTGTGACCCTGGGCAAGCTACATAACCTCTAAATCTCAGTTTCCTCATCTGTAGAATGGGAATAATAACAACACCTCATTGAGGTGTAATATATAAGAATCAAATGAGCTTTGCTGGTATAGTAAGTGGCATCTCATGCGTGGCTCACAGGGAGGCAAGAATAGACATCTCTAGCATCTCCTTCATCTCCCTCTCTTCCCTAAGGAAGATTTGATTCCTGCCAGAAGAAGGGAAGCAAGAGGTTGGGACCAGGCATGGGCACCCTCCTGCTCTCCTTAGAAGGAGGAAGTACCTGGCTAGAATTCTATCTGTCTTCTCCCTTAAATATCATTAGTCTAGGAGATGTAATTTTCAGGTTCAAGAGAATCTCCTGCCAACTGTCCTTTAATGGGGAATAAGGGCCCCAAGATTTATATCCAAGGCTTGAAATCTGTCCCACCAAATAGCAGCTCCACAATGGACACGTGGAACAAATAGCAAAGAAATTCAGTTGTGCAAGTTGATAGTAAACCAGAAATCACAGGAGAGTATACATGTAGGAATACATAAGAAGACATTACAAATTAAAGGATCTCTTCCACTAAGGAGAGAGAGAGAGAGAGAGAGAGAGAGAGAGAGAGAGAGAGAGAGAGAGAGACAGACAGAGACAGAGACAGAGAGAGAGAGACAGAGACAGAGAGACAGAGTCAGAGACAGAGAGAGACAGAGACAGAGAAAAGAAGAAGAAGAAGAAGAAGAAGAAGAAGAAGAAGAAGAAGAAGAAGAAGAAGAAGAAGAAGAAGAAGAAGAAGAAGAAGAAGAAGAAGGAGATGGAGAAGGAAAAGGTCCTAGATCTCATGAAGGGGAATATTTCCTGAAATACAGCAAGCTGGGACAGAGACATGATAGAGACTGCCAGCTCTTCTCATGCTGGCTTCTTACCAGAGACTTTCTCTTCCTTCAGAAACCTAAAGTGAAGTTGTCATCAGGAATCTTTTCTCAAAGCTGGAAGCTAGAAGAACCTAAAGAGACTTCAACTCTTTTCTCTCTCACTCTCCCACCCAACCCTCACACGACCAAGGAGCACTAAGTCTCTACCAGTAAGGACAGAGTCTTATGCAATTGGCCCTTGGAATCAAAGGTAACGCTAATGTTTACTATTGTCATCTTAAATCAATATATAAATCAGTGATTGTTAAGTCAATTTACAAGTGTTTATTAGGTGCCTACTATGTGCCAGGCGTTGTGCTGGGAATGCAAAGACAAAATGAAATAGTTCTGCTCCCTGAAGAGCTTACTTTCTACAGGACAAGTGAACGTATATAAGTAAATATAAACCATATTCAAAATAAATCACAGAAACTGAGAGCTGGAAGGGGATCTTAGCAGTCATCTTGGCTAGCCTATGCATTAAAGGAATCTCCTCTGTTTCCTCTTCTGTAGAATGAAGGGCACTTCATTATGTCCAAGGTTCCCTCCAACCCTGGTCTTCAGTGAGGTAGCACATTATAGTTGATGAAGCATTAGTCTTAGAATCAGAAAGACTTGGGTTCCAACCCAGCCTTTGACACTTAGTGGCTGGGTGACCATAGTCAAGTCTAACCTTCATCCTTTGCCTTAATTTCCTCATTCATAAAATGGGGATAATAATGGCACAGTACCTGCCCCACAGGGTCATTCTGATGATTAAATGAGATGATATATGTAAAATACTTCACCAGCCTTAAGGAGCTAGAGGAAGTGTCAGCTATTTCCAACACACCAGCCTGACTCACCAGGATGCATAAGCCCCGTAATGAATGCCAGTTACTGGTACCTTACCATTTGGTGGCTAGCAGATGCTTCAGCAGGAAGGAGGATGTAGCAGCCAAAATAGCGTCATTCTGCCTGCGTGGTCCGTCTTTCTTGCCATTCTCTTAATGGGCGAGAACTTCTCCCAGAACTCATGCAGTCCTGCAGGAGGCTAGGATTGGGTGTGTACCAGAGCTTTGGATAGGGCTTCCAAAATCCTCTCCATGTTCCCCAGGGAGCTCTCTTGCAAAGGAGACACTTTAAATAAAGTGGAGAATGCTTAGGGCAGCTAGGTGGTGCCATAGTGCATACAGCATCAGGACTCAAGTCAGGAAGCCTCATCTTCCTTTCAAATCCAGCCTCAGACACATACTAACTGTGTGACCCTGGGCAAGTCACTTCACCTGTTTTCCTCAGTTTCCTCCTCTGTAAAATGAGCTGGAGAAGGAAATGGCAAGCCACCCCAGTGTCTCTGCCAAGAAAACACTAAATGGGGTCATGGAGAGTCAGACATGACTGAAATGACTCAATCACCTCATCTATAAAATGGAGCTAATAATAAGCTCCTACCTCCCAAAGTTGTTGTGAGGATCGCACAAGATTATTTTTTGTAAAGTGCTTTGTTTGCATACCTTAAAGCCCTACATCAATGCTATTAAAGGCCAGATACCTGGTAATGTTGCCTCTTTATCATCAGTGAATACACACTTCATGTGTCCAGACCTTTGAGTGTGTCTCGACGTGGTTCAGGAAATGGAAGCTTGCCTTGGCTTTTCTCACTGGTCATTGCAAAGCGTAAGCCCAATGTGATATTCTCTTGTTCAATAAACTGCAGTGACTTCCTACCTTTTGGATCAGATACAAACTCCACTGTCTTTTAAAGCCTGGCCCCAACTTACCTTTCCAACATAAGCACACCTTATTCTCTTTTGTGCATTCTCTGGCCAGAGAAGAGCTAGGCACTTGGAACATGATATCTCTGCTGGGCCAGGTTGGGCATGGCTCTGATGTTTGGTCATACTCTCTCACCGTCTCCTGGCTCAACTGCAATCTTTGGCTAGGATACCGCCAAGCTTTTTCAGAAAGAGCCAGAACTCTTCCCCTAAGACAACTGAGAAACTTTCCCAGTTCTGCTCTTTCATAGGTTTGGGTCTGGGGGCTACCGGCTCCTGGGTAGCAGGACTCAAGCTCCCCTCTCCCCTACTCACTTGACAGAAAGTTGGGTTTTGGAAAGCCACGTCCTTGGGTTGTGTGTCCCCTGAGACAAGCAAATGTCTCCAATGGCCATGTGCTGCTGCTGAGACAACATTGCTAATCGCAAAAGGTAAATTGTTCATTGGTTGACAGGTACATTGCACAGTTTGTACAGGTAATACACTCTGCCAGAGACACAAGAAAGTTCCCAAGAGTTGGGAGCATCCCCAAAAGCTTGTTTCTTCCTCCAGTACTGGCTCTCTTCTCCTTTGCCTTTTTAGGATCTATCTCCTCATTTTTTTTAAACCCAAACTTTCCCAGAAAATTGAATGGATCGAGAAATGGCACCCTGGCCACCCAAGG